TCTCCCCGCCGGGCGGGCACCCCGTCCCGCCCCCGCCACTGTGCCGTGGTTCGGGCTTCGCCGCGTCGGGATGAGCCGCGTCTTCCCATGGAGACCAAACGGGCCGAGATCCCCAGCAGCGTCTTGGACGACCTGTGCAGGTAGCCGTCGGGTGGGGTCGTTCCCGGGCCCTCCTCACGCTCACCAGCTCTGGCCGGCCCCACCCTCTTCCCCTACGCGGCTGCGTCCCCCTTCTGTGGTACCGCGGCCCTCCGTTGCGGGGGGTGGGGTGGGCACCGTCTCCCTCCGTTGCCCCCCACTTTGCCCGGTGCGAGACGCGTGAGACCGGACCGCAGGGCCAGGGTGGCGTGGGGCTTTGGTTGCTCGGGGCCGCTCGGAGCACTCTGTGGACTGGCGGAACTCCGAGGGGGAGGTGCGGGGCGGCCCAGGGAAAGGGGTGGTGTCGGTACTGCCGCAGCGGCCGCGAAGCGGGAAGCTCGGTGTAGCTGCCCCAGTGCCAGCCCGTGGGGCTTCGTGGGGCGGGAACGCGCCACCTTCACGGCTTCGTGGCCTAAGGCGCGGCCCCCCCGATTGGAAGCTGCCCTGGTGAGGTGGGAAGGGTGCGCGCCAGCTCTCCTCTGCCGTCGGCACCGTCGTCAGAACCCGATAAAGGGCCAGACCGGAGCGAGGAAGAGGCCGAGTATGGAAGAAAAATCAGAACCTGATTTGTGGATGTTTCTTCTGGTGTTCAGCAGCTCATGATGTTTGGGCAAGGAAGGTAAAATTGCGCGGGTGAAAGAAGAGTCAGAAGCATAAGGTTCTGACGTGCGTAGTGATGAGTTGATGATACGTTCAGGAGTCTGGTTGCATTTAGAAGGGGTGGCAGGAAGTCCCTTCTGCTGATTTTTCTCTTCTGGAAGAGAATGTTCCAGTAAGACAGAAAAGATAGAGCGAAAGGAATACCTTGCAGTCTGAAATTGCCCTCTCCTCCTTGCCGGTCTTTTCGGAATGAAATAGTTAGCTTTTTCTTACCCTGAAGGTTATGTATTTAAATTTTCAGAAAACATGGATTCTGTTTTCTTGGGGAGGGGGAAGGCACTTTTCCCCTTATGATCTCAACCTCTGACTGTCTGTGGCGCAGCCCTTGACTTTTAAATTCATCTACTATCCCCAGAATTTGATGCCCCAAACTGGATGTGACATTTGACGTGAAATAATCATTCTGTTTTACCCCCTCTAAAAGATCCCTTCTGAAGTATTTATGTACAAGAGGGAAAGGTTACTAGAGATGAAGGATAGTCCACCTGCTGGAATTACTGTCTTCAAATGAGTGAAAATGCTTAGAAGTGAGGTTACCACATGAAGCTAGAACTGCTCCACTCAGGAGTGTTTTGTCATGTATCTAATGCAAGAGTCAAAGTTTGCAATACTCAAGTAAATTTTTAGTTCTCTAATTCTGGCCTCTAAAGCGTGTTGTGTTTCCATCATGTCTCCTTTTGGCTCCCTACAGAGAGATAAGTCTTGTCTTTTAGATTACTGATCACATATGAAGCGGGGTTTAAGACTTCAGAAAATACAGAGGGGAATCACAATGCTTGCAAAACAGAATAGCTAATTATTAGTGCCATTCCTGTGGAGCGACTGATAGAAGAGCACATGAGTAATCAGATATTACGTTGTTGTAGGGTCAGTCCTTCTGTCTTACTGTGTTTCTCTGAACTTCTGTGATCGCCTATGTCTGAGAAAATGTTTTGTCTTATAGATGTACATGTAGTTGTGTAGCTTTAATTTAAAAAAAAAAAAAGTCTTAGAATGGTAGATCAGAGGCTTGTAGTTACCATATGGCTCGCTTTTCGTCTTATCCTAATTCACCCTGTTTATTTTCATTAGTGCTAACAGATATGCCATGCTTCAGATAAGTTGACTTGCTTGGACATGGAACAACTGAACAGAACAACTGAAAGAAGCCACTAAGTGTAAGATCAGTGGTGCAGCACTTCAGGAGGCTGGCTATAAATGGGTTAATAAAATATTTGTTGCTTCCCACATTCTTCTATGGATATATGTATGATATTAGTGGAAATTTTGGTAGAAAGAGCCAAGTAATTTTTCATAGTTACTGAGAAGATTCAAAACATTTCTAGCACAACCTTCTACTTCTTTTTTGCCTTTCTCCCCTCCCCCCCTTTTGGCTTACTTGCTTCCCTTCCCCCTCCCCTTTGGACTTGCTTCCCTCCCTGCCCTCCCCCCTTGGCCTTTCTTATGCTCCCTCCCCCCCTTTACCCTTTCTTCTGTCAGGAAATAAAACTTCACTACTAAAATAATTCTAATTTCAGTATAACAGGTTTGGAAAGTTAGAGGACCAATATGAATTCTTTAATATCTTTTTATATGAACTGTAGCAGTGTGAGCTGCAAATCTAAACAACTGATATTTTTTAGGAGATGGCAAGCATTCACGTTGCTCTTACTAAGCTACACAAATAAATTAGCTTTCAAGTCAATCTTGCCCAGTTGAAATTCTTTTTAAGTGGGATTTTTGTGGTTTTTTTTCTCTTTTTGGTGTATTTGAAACCAAAAAGCTAAGTTAAAGCTTAGATGTTCACAAAAAATAACTATTGGTTTTATTTGTACCTTGAGAGTGCTACAGTATCTGTCAGACTTCTACACTTTGTTTTGGACGGCAATATTTTCCTTTGTCCTGAAGCAAAAGGCCTGGATTCTTTGCAGAAAACTTAGTTATTAAAAGTTTGTGTATTCAGGAGATGCAGTCATCAGTACTTCTCACTATATCAGTCATTTTACCTCCTTAATACCTTTCCTTATGACAGAAAGACCACTGTGAGCTGGTGCTAATTCTATGAACAAAATGCATTGCTGAATTAAAATGTGTTTGGCTTTTACTTTAAGCTGAACCACTTTCTTCAGATTCCTCACAGGGGTTCCTGTCTAAGCAGACGTTCCACACAGAGGCTAGTTAAAGAGGCTCATGTAGGTCCTCAGATCACTTGCAGCTGTTCCAACTAATTCAGCTAATTAGTCTAATAATTCCACTGGTCGGGGCAACTACAGCTGTTCTAATGCCTGCAGGTAATTCTCATGGCTGTTGCTAGCTCCAAAGGTGCCTTAGCTAGTATCTTAATTTTCTATGTCTTGAGGAGAGGGTGTGGTGGTGGTTCGTTTGTTTGTTTCTGTTGAGCCTAGTAGGTTAAAAAACCCCATGAATTACTGCTGAGTAATCTTTACCACATCAATTATTTTATTTTTGCAATTGTGAGTTAAAGCTTCCAGGTTTTTAGGTACTTTGCAGAATGACTGGATTTCTTTCTGTAGTAATCAATTTTGATATTAGATTGACAAATACTGTTCAATTGTAAAGTTAATTGGGCTAAGACTTCACATTTTTATTGTCTGTGGTCACCTAAAATAACTTATTGTTGAGATACATGAACTTCTAGGAGGGTCTGGGTTATATTCTTAAACTGAGTTTGTTGCTTGATGTTACTTTTACAAAGTTTAGCTTGCAGTATTTGTATGATGGTGTATTTTGCTGAGTGTGAAGTTGTACTTTTTAGGAGCAACTGTAGTATTCAGTATCAAATTAAGTTTTTAGTTGGACAAAGGAAAACAGTGTACCTGTTGATGTTCTCTCTGATACTAACCTTAGTGTTTTTCCACACGGTGAGCAGTGGAATCTATAGTAATTAATATCGGTAAGCTTAAATGTAAAATTTTTAATGCATGTTACTAAGAATTTTCTTGCATGTTAACTTTATCAAATCAGGTGCACTGGGTGAAGGTGTCTCAGGCCCTGTGCCTTGTTTGTCCTGTGCAACTCAACATATAAAGTTACCTGTTGTAATAGGTATGTTCAGAGTCAGATGTTCATAGCTGACTTCCCAGAATCTAATACTGAAATTATACCAAATCAGTATAATCTTGCTCTTAAAAAAACCCCAAACCCACACCAACTTCCATACCCCCACCCCCAACAAACCCAAACTCCACTTTTCCTGGCAGTATAAAATAACAAGTAGAGTTTTGTATTCAGCTATAGAGATCTGGGAGAGAATTAAGCATAAGTGATAGTGGTGGTGGTGGTTATTGTTAAATGCTTTCATTTCAAAACCATTCTCCTAATGATAACAAAAATAAATTCAAAACCACTAGTCTAATGAACTTTCATTTAACTTTTTTTCCAAGCTGTCACAGTTTTTCCCTGCTGGTGAACTAAATTAAGGAGACTTCTACACTTAGAATTCATATTCAGAGAGTAAAATGTTCCACCCTCATTATTCAGAAACTAAAATGTTACTTGCCAGCATGTGATAACAAGTTGAAAGCTAAAGCCAGGTACATAATGCCTTCAAACATTTGTTTTGTTCCTAGGCTGTTTTAGAATCACACACTGCCAGGATACATCTTATTCTAGTTCTGGTAAGTTAGTGTGTATTTAAGGTTCAGTAGTAGGAGCTCTCTGACCCATTCAGTTAAATAACAAGTGTCAGATATCCATGTCATTTTTTTTGTCATGCTGCCTTGTGTTACTGAGTTGTTCTTTACTGAAGAAGGAAGTGGAGGTGTGGAGTCTTAATGGAAGTTTGGGGGCTTCTTGGTGCCCTCTTTCTCCTGTAAGCAAGTGCTGTTACCCCACCCTTTGATTTCAGGACTGTGGTGGGTTAACCTTGGCCAGCAGTGAGATGCCCACCCAGCCACTCACTCTCCTCTTCAACAGGATTGGGGATAAAATAGAATGGAAAAGCTTTTGGCTCAGGATGAGACAGGAAGGTTTTTTACGAGTTATCATCATGAGCAAAACAGACTTAACTCAGGGAAAATTAATGTAGTTTGCCAATTAAAATAGGTTTGCATAGAGAGAAACAAAGACAAAAAATTCTAAGCACCACCTTCCCCTACATCCCTTTTTTTTTCCCCAGGTTCAACTTCCCCTTTTAATTCCTGACTCCTACCCCCTGAAGAGCACAGGGGTATGGGGAATAGGGGTTGTGGTCAGTCCATAACACTTCATCTCAGCTGCTTCTTTCTCCTCATGCTTCACTCCTGCTCCAGCATGGGCTCAGTCCTATGGGCTGAAGTTCCTTCAGGAAATAACCATCTACTTCAGCATGGGCTTCTCCACAGGCTGCAGTGTGGACATCTGTTTTGCCATGGAGTACCTCCTCTCCCTGCTTCTTCTCAGACCTTGGTGTTTGCACTGCTGTTTCACACTCTTTTTCTTTCTTCCTGTCTGGCATTTTTGTCCTTTTTAAAATAAACTTTCCTAGAAGCACCACCATCTTGGCTGCTGGCTTCAGGAGTGCCCTGCAGTGGCATCACAGGCAGTCCTGGCCTATTCTCCACAAAGGCTATCCTGCAGCCCCCCACTGCCAGCACATGGGCACCTGCATCTAGTACAATCTGGAGATGCCTGTTGTTAGCACTTCAGTCACTCTAAGTAACTTAGGCATTAACTTTCTGATCAATAAGTATGTTCTAACTGTCTTTGCTTTTGTAACTTTAAGCCTAGTGCATGTTCTTATTCCTCTTTGCTAATACTTGTACATATTGTGTCTTTGGATTTATGTTCAGCTGCAGTGCTGGGGCAAGAAAGTATCAGCTAATTATAAAATTGTGTCGAGTTTGTGTGTCATGGGCTTTTGGTAGTGGGGGAGAGGTCTACAGGGGTGGATCCTTTGAGAAGCTGCTGGAAGCTTCCCTGGCTCAAAGTCAGACCCAGTTCTAGCCAAGGCTGAGCCAATTAGCAACGGTAGTACCACCTCTGTGATAACATATTTAAGAGATGAAGAACTTGTGAGACATAATGGAGAAGAGTGGGATGCGAGAGAAACACCTATGCAGACACCAAGGTCAGTGAAGAAGGAGGGGGAGGAGGTTCATCAGAGCAGAGACCCCCCTGCAGCCCATGAGGGTGGGCTGTGTTCCTGCAGCCTATTGAAGTCACCAGCGGAGCAGATGCCCACCTGCAGCCTGTGGAGAACCCCATGCCAGAGCTGGTGGCTGCACCTGAAGAAAGTCAGGACTCTGTGGAAAGCCTGCACTGGAGCAGTCTTGCTGAAGGACTGTTTGCTGTGGAAAGGACCCACACTGGAGCAGTTTATGAAGAGCTGCAGCCCATGGGAAGTTCTCAAATGGAAGAAGTTCATAGAGGACTGTCTCCTGTGAGAGGGACCCCACACTGGAGCAGGGGAAGAGTGTGAGGAGTCCTCTCCCTGGGGAGGAAGGAGTGGCAGAGAGAAGGTATGATGAACTGACCACAACCCTCATCCCGTGTGCTGCTGTGGAGGAGGAGGTAGAGAAAACTGGGAGCAAAGCAGAGCCTGGGGTGAAAGGAGGGTGGAGGGAAGGTGTCTTTAAGATGTGGTTGTATTTCTCACTCTCCTACTTGGATTTGATTGGTAAATTAATAGTGATGTTGTTCAAATTAAATGGATGTCTTTTTCCCAAGTTGAGTCTGTCTTTTTGCCCAACTATAATTGATGAGTGAGCCCTCCCTGTCCTTGTCTTGACCCACAAGCCTTTTGTTGTATTTTCTCCTCCCTATTCCATGGTAGGAGAGGAATCAGTGAGTGGCTATGTGATATTGAGTTGAGGGCTAAGCCTAAACCACAACAAAAATAAAATACTTTTATTTTTTTAACTTTAATCTACAGCAGCTTTATATGTAAGAGCTATTTTCCACAGTAATAGAACCTTCAGAAAGAAAGGAGCAGTTGGAGAGTGGTGTTGCCAGTTGAAAATTGGCAAGTAGGAAAATGTTGAGGTGAATAAAGTTATTTATGTAAGGGAGAGTGTCTCCTTCTTTAAGGGTGTTTGGTTGAAGGCCTTTTTCAATGTGAAAATGAGAAAGGGAGAAAACCGTAACCAAAACATACAGGGACACAAATCAGAGGGAGGTGGTGATGAGAACTGAACCTGGCCACTGATTTAATGATGTGGTGTGGGAATGTTAATTCCAGCAAGTTTATCTAAGGGAAACATGCTCCTGGGAATCTAAGGGAAAAAGAGGGAAATTGGAACCAAAAATATACAGCCACAAGCCTAAGAAAACAAAAGTGGAGACAAGAAACATACTTGCCAGTCATGCTAATTGATGGGCTATCAAGAAACTACAGGCACCACTTCCAGGAAGATCAGCCTGGTGTTTGCATCTGATAAGGCTGAAAGAGGTGTGGCAGGGGAGGGGGATCGGGGGAACAGAGTGGAAATAGGCAAAGGCAGAAAGGGGTGTAAGAGATGCTGGTTGTGTGTAAAACTGGGCTGGTCAATACCATTGTCTGTCTGAGCCTTTCACCTAATTGCCACAGTCTGTCCTATCTTTTTACATATTCCTATTAAATATTTCCTTAATTTTCTCTGTGTAATCTCACTCTCTACCCAACCTACATGTGTGCTGCAAGGGTGAAGTGCCAGCTACTGCTGAGAGCTATATGTGTCAGTGGATGGGGTGTCAGCTGCTGGAGTGAGGGGGAATATGTCAGTGCCAGCTACTGACATGAGTGGGGGTATAAGCTTCCAACCTCTGTGGGGGGAATGGTGAATGTCCTGAAAACCAGCTACTGCTGGGAAACTGAGTGAGGTGAGGGGCAGAGCACCAGTGACTGGAGCAGGACCATGGGTCTTGCAGCCCATGTGCCTGGTGCCAGCTGCTGGGATGGCAGGGGCATGAGTGACTTACTTTCCCAAACCTGTTGTGCTTATGTACTTACTAACAAACTTCAGGCTGGACCATCCAACAAGTCAGGGATCTGTGTGATTGGTATGAGGGTATGGGATCTGCACAGGTGATCTGAGGAAAAAAAAAAAAAAAAAAGCGACAAAGTTGTGAGGCCCCTTAAACAATGCTAGCCCTCAGGCAATGTTAGCTAGATAACATTCTTACAGAAAACAGGATAGATAGTAAACTAATCCCTGTCTTTGAGATAAAGGGGGAGCTGTACCAGCTAAAGGATGACCAATTCCTTGTAACACCAAGGATTTACACCCTGGAACATCTTGATAGACACAAAAGTTCGAATTAACAAAACAGGTAAAACTGACTCTACAACTTGGAGAGGAGCCAAAGGTCCAGAGAGCATGTGCAAGAAGCAAAGTTAAAAAGTTCATGAAGAGGAAGGAGTCTTACTTCATCCTGAAGACCCCAGCCCACCCTCACCAGGAGGCACTGCACAGGCGCAAAGAAGGACATGGGGGCAGGGGAGGCAAGAGGGGAATTTCTCAGAACTAATTGTCATATTCCCTCCTTCGGAATCCTAATGCATGTGTAACATTTCAAACAATAAAAGGAGGTGATTTTTTGGCTCCTGGCGTGCACATTTGTGGTGGAGTGATCCCCCGTGTGCCCGATGTCGTAATAAACATACTACTTTATAACTCTTAGTGAGTTGTAGAGTTTGATTCTGTGCCTCACAGGGGTATTGGGTGGACAGTGGGAGTTGTGCTGGTACTTGAGGGATGCGTGAATATGTGTACACTTGTGAACCTGGAGAGTGTCAAGTGTGTGCCAGCACTAGCTACCTTCAGCCTCTGCCTGCTGAAGAAGGGGACTTGGCTCTCTGTGCTTGTGTTTTGTGTGAGTCCTATATGTAGGTGCTGTCCGTGGGATACATGCTGGGCTTTGCTACTGGTTGAACTTGCCAAGGGGAAAGCAGCAGCAGCAGTGTCCCTCAGCCTGGGCAGAGACCCTGGGGCCGAACTCCAATGGGCAGGCAGGAGGCAGTCCTTGGTCGGAGTGGCTGGAAGATGCAACCACTTTTGACACTTTTCAATTTATACTTGTCAAATTTTAAGTAAATATGTGTTAAGTAATTCTGGTTCTGGCAATGTGCTTTTACAATTTGGCTGGTGGTACTCAGGAGTTGAATGTAAGAGATCTGTGTCAAATGGTTTAAGTTCAATGGAGTAAATGACCTTAAATTTCTAAAAAGAAAATTCTGTTGTTCTTAATCTTACAAATAAGTAAGGCTGCTTCTGCTTAAGTAAAATAAGCTATCGCACTGCTACTTACATGTACATTTCTGGGACTCTGTGTTTGTGTGCCAGTATCTGAGCTAAAGCATAATGTAGACTTGAAAAATAAACTGACTGTCCATGTTCTATTTCAGACTGAGAAAATTAATAGTATCATATTGAATTTAAAAATCTTCATAAATTAATAGTTCATTGTGTCTTTAAGTGAAAATATATAGCTGTGTTTAACTTATCCCCAGAAAAAAATGTGTTGACATGTTATCAAGAGTTTGCAGATGTTCTTTACTAGACATGTAAAAATGCTTTCTTTGGTAATATAGCCATTTATGTAGGATGTCCTTGCCCTTCCTTGTTTTCACAACAGTTAATTTACTTAGTTTATCGTAGTTGACTTTTGTGAAAGAGCATCATGATCTGTTCTCCTTCTTGACTTTAAAAGTTGTATTTTACTTTGATGTGAAAACCTTTTGATGTCCAGGTCACTAGGAAGATTTGGTGATCTGTTGCTCTGTACGATTTGATCAGGAATTCCACTGTTGCAATGCATTTTTGTTGTTAGATTTATTTAAATTGATAGATTGGGCTAATCTTACTCTTTTTGCTTTCCTGGTAGCCGATTTATTTTGCACATTCCAAGTGAAGAGAGAGACAATGCAATCAGAGTGTGTTTTCAGATTGAACTTGCCCATTGGTTTTACTTGGATTTCTACATGCAAAACACACCAGGATTACCTCAGTGTGGGATAAGAGACTTTGCTAAAGCTGATATCCTTTTTGTTACTGACTGTTTTCTCTCTCAGTAGATAAAGTGCAAACTGAATATTGTTAATGAAATTTCATAGTTGCAGCAGGAAAATGTCAGTTCGTGTGTTAGTGATTTAGAAGTTAGTATTGCTAGATACGTGATTTTAGCTGTTCATTGCTTCCGTTGTTTTGTAGCATCCAGAAAAGAGATGTTTCTCAGACTGCTGAAGAGCTATGGAAAATGCGTAGTTTCTGATTGTTGAGGATTTTTCCTTGTGGTTGCACTTTGGCAGACTAGGTGACCTGCTGGAGCTCTTCATTGTGTCTTGTCTAATGTCTTTCCAAGTAAATAGTGACACAAATGTTAATGTAGCTGAAGGTGGTATGCATTCCCCTATGGGCAGTGGTATGTATTTGTTGGAAGTACTGACAGTTGCTCCTAGAAAAGGTTCTGTTGGCAGAGGAGAGGATGTATTTTTACTAAATTCATATGGTTAACCTCTGCTTTTTTTCATTGCTTACAAGGACTGCTGAAACGTTCACTGTGTAGTCCCTTCTGGAGAAAAACTTGACTTTCATCCAGCAAGTGTTTTAGTTTTGTGTGTTTGTGATGTGTATTTAGTCTGTATGTTTGTGATGTGGGATTGGAGTATTGCTTCTAACTTTCACAACAATATTAATCTGTAGCTTCAATACACAATGTTTGGTAACAGAGATTTACTTTGAAAACAATACAGCTTTTATTTTAACAATAAACTGTAAAAATATGATAATTTTCTGTATATTTCATGATAATATCTGTGGTTTCACTACACAACATACTTCTCTAATAACAGAGATGTACTTTGAAACACTCTAGCAAGTGTATAAATATGATGATTTTCTGTCACTTGATATTATGTAGTTATTTTTTATTTATTTTAGGTATGGTTTCAGTTATAAATGTATTTTCAGACCAAGAGAATTCTTTTAGTAATTGTAGGCAGCACAGGAAAACCACAATGTAATAGATGTTATTTGTTCATTACATCTGTCCCTCTCCAGCTTACATTAGCCAGAAATATTAATTACAGAATCACAGAATCAGCTAGGTTGGAAAAGACCTTGAAGATCACCTAGTCCAACTGAATTCTGCTGCGGTGTCATATTTTTAAGTACTCTGCTATGGAATATTTTTTATTGGTAGTATACTCTTACTTTTAATATCTAGTGTTAATACTTTTATTAAGGACTTGTAGGTTTGCTTTCAAAGTTTTAGTTATAAAGGTTGTTCATATTTTCTCTGCATGGTGAATCTTCATAAAGTGTATTAGGCTTTAGATCTCTGTTATTTGATGCCATTAAAAACATTTTTTTTTCATAGTAAATACTTAAGTACAGATTCTGTACTGTAGTCTAACAAATGATTGATGGAAAATTTTATCTCCACTTCAGGCAGGAGGTGAAACTGTATTTTTGTCTGTCTTACTCCCTTCAAAATTAATAAAATGTATTTAAGAATCATACATATTCAAAATAACTGTTATGTGGATACTTTTTCTTCAAAATTAGGGGAGACCTTCCTTTAGACAAGCAGATTTGTCCCATCTTTTGTCTTTTTTTTCTTTAATTGTCTTGTATTAGGGTTACAAAATTACTTGATGCTTTCCAACCTTTAGAGTTTGGTTATGGATTGTTCAGGGTGCTTTTTTACTTTTAAGATAATATATCTTGAAAGCAGTTAAGGGAGGGAGTGTGGTTATTGTAAATGTTGAGTGGGTATCTTTTATATGTCTGCGTGTGATTTGAAACTAGATGCTTAAGTTTATCTTCCTTGACATGCCCCTGTACTCTTCAATCACTGCCCTTTTTTACTGCCTCAAGGTGAAGATGTACAGAAGGTTTTAGATGAGTGGAAAGAATACAAAATGGGAGTGCCAACCTATGGTGCAATTATTCTTGATGAGACACTTGAAAACGTAAGTATGAAAATAGTTGTGAAGGTCTAGAGGGAAGGATGGTATATGCTGGCAGAAATAATAATGTTGTTATTTACATGTTTCATCTGGAGAAAAAGTGCTTTAGATTCATGAAGACCTGACAGTTACTTGCCACTGTTGAGTGTGTACAGAAATAGAGTATGGGAGACAGTAAACATACTTCTGCATGCTTTCCTACTCAGTTTTGGGTTTTTTGATTCTGAGTTTCGTGATCCCATAAAAAAACTCATGGCTCTTGCTAGAACACAAAAAAGTCTCATGGGTTTCTTCCTCCAGGCTAGAGTATCTTTTTGTAGAAGTTGGGGATGTGAAGGGAAAAATAAAAATTGGTTAGAATAGTGAATGTGTGACAGTTGTATCCCCTTGTATTTTGCAGGTTCTTTTGGTTCAGGGCTATTTAGCAAAGTCTGGTTGGGGATTTCCAAAAGGGAAAGTAAATAAAGAAGAGGCTCCTCATGACTGTGCTGCTAGAGAGGTAAGCTATATCTGATTCCCTTAAATTTAAGCTAAAGAAATAAAGTTTACTCAGAGCAGGATATATATGTTAGATGAAGAGGTGTTTTACTTATATATCTCTTTACTGAAATAAATAAATAGTCTGTTCTTGCAGGAGTCTTCTGTTAGTGCTTTTCTGAGTTCCACAGTGATAATCAAGGTGTGGTTTTATAATTTAAAAATCACTGTTAGATGGTTTTAATTGTTTTGCAATAACTTGCTAAATTAAGTGAGCACTGTTTTTAAAGATCTCTGCTGAACTATCAATTTACTTTTAAATATTATTTTTGGTGCTTGGGAATTCTTATGTGCTTTGTAGCTTTTCGAATGTACTTTGTGGCTTTTGGAATATTAATTTCAAGGGCCACCATAACTGTAAAACGGTATAAGAATGGGAATTCAGCTTATATGCACTGGGCTATGTAACAAGACTGAACAGTTGAACTGGAGGTTGTAGATTATGTAAAAACTACGAAAAACTTTTCTATTTTTCAGTGATGCAAGAACAAGGATCAATGCATTTTACAAGTAAAATCTGAAAAATAAAATAATCTGTTGGATTTATTGCTGCTGGAGACCTAGATATATAATGAAGCTGCATATTAAAGATAGCTTATATTATTGGTATAAACTCAATACTCATGTAATATAATGCATCCAGAATTTTTGAGAGGGAAAATTAAAATGAGGGAAAGTAGAAAAATGCATCAGTTTTCTTCATGGTTGGACCTAATCAGTGTCTGAGAAATCATGGATATTTTTAATATATCTGTCAAAGAATGAATGCATAAATGAAAAATTTCGTATTTCTGATTCCCTGATAGTACTTTCCATACCACTCATATATTTATTGTGGACTTGGAAAAGCAAAATAAGGTGTTAGATCTTAAAATTGCACGATTATGTGATGAACACACATGTTTCATGTTAGCAGTTAGTTATATAGTATCAGTTAGCAGTTATTTATATAGTATCAAATGGAAAAAAAGACATGTCAAAAAGGACTGTCATGGCTTGAGCCCAGAGGTCAATGGAGCACCATGAAGCCATTCATTTACCCCTTCTCCCTCATGAAAGGGAAGGGGAAAATAAAGTAAAAGGCTCATAAAATGCGATAAGAACAGAGAGGGGTGGCTTACCCGTTATGGTCACAGACAAAAGACAGGTTTGTTAGGGGAAGACAAAAAGACCATCACTTTAAATCAAACACTAACAACAAAAATGCTTAACAGACAGAGTGGGATAGTGAGAAGCTTATTACATGTTAAAAACACCTCCCTACACCCCTCCCTTCTTCTTGGGCTCAGTTTTCTTCCAGCCTCATCCCCCCCAGTGACACAGAGGGCAAGGAATGGGGGTGTGTGTGGGGGGGTGTGTGTGTGTGTGTGTGTGTGTGTGTTGAGTCTGCTGCTCCTCCCTCTTCAGGGGGGAGGACTCCTTGCATTCTCTCCCCTGCTCTGCTGTGATGTCCCTCTCACAGGACCCAGTCCTCCGTGAACTTTCTCTGACTGAGTCCTTCCCATGGGATGCAGCTGTTTCTGTGCTGCTGCGTCACTGAACTGCAACAGTCGGGCCTGATCTTCCCATAGAGTCCTGGCCTTACTTGAGCACAGCCATCTGCTCTGGTGTGGGGTCCTCTGCAGTCTGCAGGTGGATCTCTGCTCTTCTAGTGACCTCTCTCGGCGCACCCTCCCCCCTTCCTCCTCCTTTCTTACACTTGATGTTCACATTGATGTGCTCCTCACAACTCCTCAACCTCCTCTCGAGTTTCCCTTCTGAAATATGGTATCACAAAGTTGTGGCCATCGTTGCTAATTGGCTCATTCGTGGGCAAAGGCAGGTCTGACTTGGAGCAGTGGAAGCTTTGAGAAGCTTCTCACAGAGGGCCACCACTGTAGCCCCTCCTCCTCTGCTACCAACACCACCATACAAACCCAGCACACTTGCCAAAGAGTAAAACCCCTGAGCTACAGATGCAGTAGGCTCTCATTGCAGAACTCAAAGGCTGGAGAAGGATGAGCAGACACTTAATGAAGTTAACTTGTTTATTCAATGCATGTCCCTCTCCCTCACCCCATAAATAGCTTGTTCAGTTCAACTTTTCCTAGTCAGGTTCTTTTAGAGTTGGTATAAAGGACTGAACTGAAGGGAGAGAGGACCATAAAAAGATATGGACCCCAACACAGTGGACAGGACAAACCAGGTGTAACTGCTTCAGGAAGGAATTATGTGAATGAATCCATTACAATCCACACCCTGGTCCCTTTGGGCCAGGTTACAGGGTTTAATACTGCAATGAACTTCTCCCCTTGCTCCTATCCTGACTAGCAACAAGGGGTTCCTGCTATAGTAATTCTTATACATGCAGCTCAAGTCCTGGGTTACAACAATTTAAAGGTGTTTCCATTACAATTTACACCCCTGTTCCCTTTGAAGTAGACTGTAGGGTTTAACATTGGCAATGAATTCCTCCCCTTGCCCCTGCTCCAACTTGGACTTATCCACAGACTGCAGTCCCTTGAAGTGGAGACTTAATCTGTGACCTACAGTCTCTTCTACTGCTGCAGCATTGACTTATCCACACCCACAGTTACTTTGAGATGCACCCATTCCAGTGTGGTCTTCTCCATGGGTCACAATGCCTTCAGAGATATACCTGCTTCAGTGTAGCCTTACCCACAGCCATTGTTCCTCAGAAGTGAACCTGCTCTAACACGGCCTTACCCATGGCTGCAGTCCACCAGGGGTGTACCTGCTCTGTTGAGGGCTTATCCATGGCCACATGCTTTGACATGCTCCAGCATGACCTTATGCTCAGCCACTGATGCTAGCTACTGTGAAGAAAATTAACTGTCCTAGCTAAAACCAGCACAGGTGGGCACAGTTCTACTGAGAAAAAAGTCCTTTGGTGGTGATTTTAATTTGGAGAATTGATTTAGATTGCTCTAGTGAACAACACTGTTACTGTGGTCTTTTTCCATCAAGGTAGATTGTGAATAAATTGGCAAATTCTTACAGGTTTACTGTGTCTGGAATTGGGATGTCTGTAATATCTGTGCATAAATCTTTTAACTGTTTTTACTGGAGTCAGCACAGGTCTAAAACCATAAACTGCATCTGCTACAAGGTCTAATTAAAGAGATCTTCAATGGATGGTGTCTACACTGTTCAGTAGTATTTCATAAGTTGATGAGGGCAAAACCCTACTAAATGGGTGATTCCCTTGGTACATGGAGTTTATACAATTAATTCCCTTAAATCATATGTAAAGATCATTTAGGAAAGGAAAACACTGCTGTTAGTTGGAAGGGTAGGTATGGAGGAAAAGAGTATCTTCTCAATTGAGACAGTGTATGGTGGGGATTTTTGGCTGTCTTTTTTCCCCCTTAAACTCTGCTGTTCTTAATGTAATTAGATGAGAAGATGGCTTGCTTTTTGTTTTGATATGAGGGGTTGTATATGCTAATTTGAAGACTAACCGGTCAATTATTTGCTTAGTATTAAACATTTCTGTTTCCTTGTATTTGTGCTTAATTTCTTCTGCATTTTCAAAAATGGAGAGGAACCATATTGGCAACCATTTTGACAATAGCAGTGTATACACTGCTATTTTGCATACAGTATGCATAATATATTTTGAGTATTTCTGCTACTATGATTTTATATGCAGTTCTTTGGTTCTGTTTTTCATTATACATACCCACAGCAGTTGTGGGTTGAGAAGAGGTTTGACTGAAGATCCTGTCACTCTTTCTGATTCTAAATCTGGTCTTTAAAAAAATTAACTGAGGACTTCTGCCTTTGGATTACAGAATCACAGAATTGTCAAGGTTGGAAAAGACCTTGAAGATCATCTGGTCCAACCATTAACTTAACAGAGACAGTTCCCAACTACACCATATTCCTCAGCACTATGTCGACCCAACTCTTAAACACCTCTAGGGATGGGGACACCACCACCACCTCCCTGGGCAGCCCATTCCAACTCCTAACAACCCCTTCTGGAAAGAAATGCTGCCTAATATCCAGTCTAAACCTTCCCTGGTGCAACTTGAGGCCATTCCCTCTTGTCCTATTGCTTGTTACTTGGTTAAAGAGACTCATCCCCAGCTCTCTGCAACCTCCTTTCAGGGAGCTGTAGAGGGTGATGAGGTCTCCCCTCAGCCTCCTCTTCTCCAGACTAAACACCCCCAGTTCCCTCAGCCGCTCCCCGTACGACCTGTGCTCCAGACCCTGCACCAGCTTCGTTGCCCTTCTCTGGACACGCTCGAGTCATTCAATGTCCTTTTTGTAGTGAAGGGCCCAAAACTGAACACAGGAATCGAGGTGCGGCCTCAGCAGTGCCGAGTACAGGGGTCAGATCCCTTCCCTGTCCCTGCTGGCCACGCTATTGCTGACACAAGCCAGGATGCCATTGGCCTTCTTGGCCACCTGGGCACACTGCTGGCTCCTGTTCATCGGGCTGTCGATCAGCACCCCCAGGTCCCTCTCTGACTGGCAGCTCTCCAGCCACTCCTCCCCAAGCCTGTAGCGCTGCTGGGAGTTGTTGTGGCCCAAGGGCAGCCCCCGGCATTTGGCCTTATGGAAACTCCTGCAGTTGGCCTCAGCCCATGGCTCCAGCCTGTCCAGTTCTCTCTGCAGAGCCTCCCTACCCTCGAGCACATCAACACTCCCACCCAACTCGGGGTCATCTGCAAACTGACTGAGGGTGCACTTGATCTCTTAATCTAGATCATCAATAAAGATGTTAAACAGGAGTGGCCCCAAAACTGAGCCCTGGGGGACACCACTTGTGACCGACTGCCAACTGGATTTAACTCCGTTCACCACAATTCTCTGGGCCCGGCCATCCAGAGTTTTACCCGTCAAAGCATGTGCCCATCCAAGCTGCAAGCAGCCAAATTTGCCAGGAGAATGCTGTGGGAAATGGTGTAAAAGGCCATGATAAATTACATCCACATCCTTTCCCTCATCCAATAAGCAGGTCGCCCTGTCGTAGTAGAAGGAGATCACGTTTGTCAAGCAGGACCTGCCTTTCATAAACCCATGCTGACTGGGACTGATGATCTGGTTGTCCTGCATGTGTTGTGTGATGGTACTGAGGATGAGCTGCTCCTTCAGCTTCCCGGGCACTGAAGTCAAACTGACAGGCGTGTAATTTCCTGGATCATCCTTCTGACCCTTCTTATATATGGTCATCACGTTGGCCAGTTTCCAATCTGTTGGGACCTCCCCAGTCAGCCAGGACTGCTGGTAAATGATGGAAAGAGGCTTGCAAGCACCCCAGCCAGCTCCTTCAGCACCCTTGGGTGTATCCGATCTGGTCCCATAGACTTGTGTGTGTGATGCAGCAGGTCACTGACTGTCTCCTTCTGGATTGTGGTGGGGTCGTTCTGCCAGTCTCTGTCTTCTGGCTGAGGAGGCTGGATTCCCTCAGTGCAACTAGTCTTGTTATTAAAGACTGAGGCACAGAAGGCATTAAGCACCTCAGCCTTTTCCTCCTCATCACTTGTTACCATGTTTCCTCCTGCATCTAGCAGGGGATGGAGACTCTCCCTGGTCTTTCTTTTGCTGCTGGTATACTTATATAAACATTTCTTGTTCTTAATTGATGAAGCCAGATTAATTTCCAGTTGGGTTTTAGACCTCCTGATTTCCACCCTGCATAGTCTCACAGTACCTTTGTAATCACTGATTATTTGCAGTGGGGCTTAATATTTTTGGGGTTAATATCCAGTTCTATGATTTCACATGCATGTTCCACTGTCTAGGAAGAAATATTTTGGATAGTGGTATCAATCCTGTGTGTTTTCTGAGTATTTGTATTTCCTGTGTTGATTTTGGGGACCAGGAAGCTTCTAAAATCAACTGTTTACTTAACAAGCTTAGAGGCATGACCTGATTTAAGGTATTAGGTGTGTTTGACATAATTTTTTTTTATATTATAAACCTTGTATATTTGAGAATGTTGTAAAAAGACAGTATTTTGAAGTAAGCCTTTGAGAAACCTGATCTAGTGAAAGATGTTCCTGCCAGTGGCAGGGGTTCTTGGACTTGATGATCTTTGTAGGTCCCTTCCAACTGAAACTGTTCTGTCAATCTGTGATCCTTCACTGCAACGTTATAAAATATTCAAATGAAGTGTTCCTTTAAAATATCATTGTCTTTATAGTAATCTCCAGCAGGTATAATACTCCTATTTTTTTCTTTAGAGTAGCTGACAATGCAGCTTTAAGTTTGTCAGTGTGGATGTGCAGTTTGGATTTTTTAGTTTTGCTACGCTATTACTGGGTTTTTAAATGAGTGTAAAAATGATTATATGTATTAGGGGTGGAAGGTTCATGAAGTAGAAGGACTGTTGAAAGAGAAGAAAAATTGAGGTGCAAGTAAACCTTGCTAGAATTTGAAGATCTCTTTATCCCCAAATAGTAGTTTTTTCTGTGCATAAGATTTCTGTGTATCCAACAGCACCAAGGAGTAGCTAGACTCCCTAACCATATTAATAAATTGCTACATTAAGGCATAATAGAGTTATTTCAACTTTTATTACAGATCTGTCTATCTTGAAGAAATACAAAGCACATAGGATCTTGGATAATTTTTCTATTATTGAGCATATATCTATGTGTAAATGCTTGTTTTTCCCTGCAGAGGCCTGCTTTCATGGATAGATCTGAAAAATAGCCATTCTTTCCCTCGTGATGATAGGTTCTGAAAGCATGAATTTGAATACACACATTGATTTCATCTATATGCTTCTCAGGTGTTTGAAGAAACTGGGTTTGACATAAAAGATTATATCTGCAAAGAAGAATACATTGAGCTGCGAATTAATGATCAGTTAGCACGGCTGTACATCATTCCAGGAGTTCCGAAGAACACAAAATTCAACCCCAAAACTAGAAGAGAAATTAGGGTATGTTTTATCTTCTTTGAATCTATTAAGACCCTTATTGAGAAGCTTGATTTTTAAAACTAACAGTCTGTGAAATAATAAAACTACCATTTGATGAATGCCTCAAATACTAGGTACAAATGACATCTCTGCAAGGTAGGGTGCTGTCAACTTCTTGCAGCCCTACTGCAAAGACTGATTCTTGACCATCTGTCTGATGTCTCCATTCATCATGAAAGTAACAACACTAGAGCATGATGTCAAGCTATAATTCTCCCCTTCTTTTCTCTTAGCTGTTGTATGTGTTAATCATTTAATGTTATTCCTAGTTATAGCTGCATATATAACTATATATTCTTCTGAAAATTTAATTATTAATTGGTGATATACAAAAGCGTACATATCAGAAGGAGAAACTAAGGATTGTGTTCTCTCTTTCATGGCTAATGCCATCCAGACTTAGAAACAGTGTATTTTAAGGAGGAGGTTGAGAAGGGGACACAAAACAGGAACTATTTTTGATGGTTTGTGTACCATTAGACTTTTAAAAGGTATTGTGAAGCAGAGAAGCAAAGACTCAGGCAGTAGATGCTGGAAACTTTGTTCCTGATATTCAAACTTCAAAGGTTATGTATATCTTTCTTGTATTGCAATTCAGTTTAAAACAACTATCCCCATATTTTCATGCAGATCGTGCCACTAAAAAGGGCATCTGGCTTTCTGAATATAAAAAGGTACTTGTAGTTGACTAGACAGGAGTCTCTTTAATTTCTTTCACTTGAGATCTGTTTTTCAAAATATGAAGTAAAAGAAGATGAACTTTTTTGAGATGTAAATACCCCCCTTTCTATAGCAGGGACCATCTGCATGGGGATGACGAAGAGTTCTTACAATAACAGATTTTTGTCTCCCTGCTGATGTTAACATTTTCATCTGATCTAATACAACAGGGCATGCTGGTTTTGTATTCCCTATAGAACTATACTGAAAACCTGTTCAGTTTGTAACTTCCTTCCATAATATGCATCTTATCTGGACCTGGGGTTAGGTTCTGCAATAGAAAAGCTCATGTGGGTTCTTCTACACTGTGTCTGTTCAGAATTCCTGATTCTGTTCCCCGTTCTGCAAAGTATAGTTTCATAGTTAAAATATAATGTATAAATTAAATACAAATCCTATCCTGTACCCATTTTTTTTCTTTTATAACAAGAGCTAAGAGCACAGACTAAATCCCGTTCTTGCTTGTAATTTTTGAACTGATATTGGTGGTCTAGTTTTGATGGCATTTTAAATAAAAATAGCAAGAATATTAGTGACTTTGAAAGTTATTTAAAGCCTCTTCCTTTATTTATGACATTTAGTATGCAGTGATTTGGTTGGTTGTTTTTTAAAACCCTTATTCTGAATTTAGTTGCTGGATTATACCTTTCATATTTTAGGTGCCATATTTTGTGGTATGTGCTGTACCATCTGTTAATCTGTGCTGCAGTTAGAAGAATGACCCCATTGTTAATTAACCTTCTGTGAAAAACTCTGTTGTGGTCTGTTAATTAAGTCTTGTAATTTTTTAATTAAGGGAAATTACACATTTGTAACATTCTGTAATGCTACCGTAGTGGGTATTTTGATTTTATTTCTTGTTTTTCTAGAATATTGAGTGGTTTTCCATTGACAAATTACCATGCCACAGAAATGACATGACCCCGAAGTCCAAGCTGGGTTTGGCACCTAACAAATTCTTTATGGCAATTCCCTTCATCAGGTATGTTTGAGATGAGGCAAATGCTAGGCCAGTGCCTTTCAGACAACTTTAATTTATTTAGATTTGTTGCAATTTTCCTTGCTCACAGGCCATTGAGGGAATGGATTGCCCGAAGGAATGGAGATTCCTCAGATAGCGACAATGGATTTTCATCTACAGGAAGCACACCCTCTAAACCCAATTTGGAAAAAGCTAGGTAAGAACCAGGTCAGTCTAACATCTCTATATCCTTTCTATAAAACATTGGTCATACACAGCTGCTTGTCCTTTCTCTTTCTCCGAGTATTTCTGTTCTACTCTATAGTGGGTTAATAAACAAAAGTAAAAATTGTGGGCATATCTCATAGAACTGTAAACAGGATGAGAAGTTAATGTCGTGATACACCTTTTTTGATAAATTCTCATGTGTCATGACTGAAATAATTTCCTGAGTCCTGTCTATGGGAATCCAAAAACCAGAAGCTAAAACAAGTAGATAACTTTCAGTGCTTCAGGTTCAATGCTTTTGGCACTTCCACAGAGGAAAAATAGACACTCTAAAATAGAACTGTAAAGTACTATCAGAAGTAGCTAGCTAGCTAAAGCCTGTGGGGATCAGTCAGCTGAGCTAGAAGCAGTAGAGTGGACTTTAAAACCTGTAGAAACATGGGTTTCCTGCCAGCAGGCAAAACAAAGTTGGGTAAGTGCAGTGAGCATTATTACCATTTTCACACTAAGTTACTTAAGTTTGTCTTACAGGTTGTTCTCAAAAAGCAGAAAATTCTTTCATATTTCTCTTCTGCTATCAATAGGTTTGAAGCTGTCTTGTAAACTGTGTTTATTTTCCTGTACTAGATCCAAACTTCGCTGTAGTCAGCAGGTGTTTACAGATGGCTTTTCAGGAGAGCATAGTGTGAAGCCAAAACAGCCACAGAAGCCAAATAATCATCCTGAACAGTCTGAAGTATTGAAGATAAAGGTAGGTTGTTTCTTAGGCAAATATGAATCTGGGCTATTTAAACTAGCTTGTTTGTAGGGGTTCTTCACTGGAACAAAAATACTGAATTTTATCACCATAGCCTGCAAAAATAAAAACATGGGAAAAAACCAATCTTTCAGATTCTCAGATTTATCTTACATTAGAGGTGGTATCCAGTGGTAGTTGTGTTGTTTCAGGTATAGATAGTAATTACTACTCACCATTTAGTGTCCTCCATGTACCATTTTGAAATATTTTGGGTACCACTAGTATATATGCATCAGTGTATGGGAACTGAGCTGAATTTGTCATGTAATACAGTGTCTGTAATAGTGCAAGAGAGACAGAGTAAGACCTGGTGACTCTTTGTAACCTGAGTGTATGGTTAACTTCAGTGTGCTTCGGTTTGTCTACAGACGATACTGTTTATGTGTTTTGAGGTTTTTTGGAGAAAAGTTTTAACTAGTTTTAACTAATAAGTACAAATTTTTAGTACAATGATGTTCAATGCTGCCATTTAAACTCTTCTCTTTGCTACATTTTGAACTTAATGGCAGAGTCAGAGCTTGAGGAACAGTGGCAGAAAGCAGTGTCAAGATAATTCTAACCAAAAGAAGCGAACAAATGGAGCCCACAGTCAACCAGTTAAGCAGAACCATACTTCGGTAAGAAACATACAGTGATTAACAGGTTCCAGTAATGCTTAACAAATGTTCAGCAATATTTGATCAGAGTATTTGCTAGGTATTTGTAGTCATATGATATTTCTTACCTTGTATGCATATACACCTATAAATAAGCATCCTAAAATAAATGCATGTTTTGGAAGTAAATCTTATTTTAGCACTTGGAAATTTTTCAGCTCTTTCAGTAGACAATTCCAGATTCCTATCAGGTAATAGCCTACTGTAGTCTATCATAATAAATTAGTGTAGTACATGTCTTATTTATTCATGTATGATATATTACTGTAAGCATGGAATTTTGTTATACAACAATTAGATATGAAGTGGTAATTCATATGCTTATTATTTCCCTTCTCTCTAGCAAACATGTTGAGATGCAGACTTGAATTGTATGGCAGAATCTCTTATAATTTTTTAATCACACAGGAGAACTACAGCAGTTTGTAAATTCCAGTGTGACATTCTTGATTTGTTCCCTTTTCCTTGCAATCATTTTCTTTGTCCCCACATTTTTGGCTGAGAAAAGGCTCACTGAGTTTTAATATGTCTTTCTGATGCACACAGAGACACAGACACACAGACCTTGTTCTTTATGGCTCTTCAATTCTACTTTGTTGGCTTTTGTGCAGCAGTGAGCCCGTAGCTCAGCTGGCCCAGGCTTTAGTTTTTCTTGTTTACTGGCTGTAAGCTTTATTCTTCCCATTCTGGATTGCGGTTATTACCTTCTCTCTGTTTTTCATGTAGAAATGCAGAGGCCATAAACTCTGTAAAATCCTCACTGTAGCAAGAAATAGTTAGTTGCATTTGGGTCTGAGAGTAGAAGAATAAAAAGTCAAAGAATTGCCTGCCCAAAAGTTTGGCTGTATAGGAAAAACTATAAGGAGAATCTGTAGGATCTTGATGGAAACAAGTGCAACTGTTAATATTTTTCAGTTACTTTTTAGGCTTTTCACAGACTTTGCTAAATTCTAATCTGGTGTTTTGTTTGCATTTTCATGTTGTCAGGCTTTTGAAGCTCAAATATTTCATATCCCAGTGATAGTTTGGAGGCCAGGGAACTCTTAATTTGCACAGAATGCAAAGGGCCATAATTTTCTTGGTTACAGCAGCATACCCGGGGCTAGAACTGAACTCTTCCCTGGAGAGTTCTAAGTTTGTATATCTTAACACATGCTAATTTAATTAGCAGTAGCATCGTATTTGCAGATACATTCTCCTTGCTTTTTGGGACAAACTGATTGAAGAATGGGCTTATTATACATGTGCAAGTTTGTTTCCATACCATCAAATGCGAGACCCTTCCAGCTTGAAGCATTTAGAAAGAACTCAAAATTTTTCCCTAAAAGCTAGCATTTTAAAAATGGTTTGTTGACTGTTAAAAGGTTGCATGTTTCTGAAAGACTTGTGAACTTGAAGCATGCTTACTAGGTAAAGTAACGTGACAGAATTCATGCTGAGTTATAAATAAAATAATTCACTCATCAGGAGGTCTGTCAAAGCAAATATAACCAGCATGCCTTTTAGCTGGTGCTTAAGCTATACCATTAAGAAATAGAATGCCGTTTCTTTATGAAATGTGTAATGTACGATCATTCTCTTAACCAGAAATGTGAAAAAAGGCTTAATCCAAGAAGACTTCAAGATAACTTTGAAACAGGCAAGTGCAGTCTGAATTTTCATCCATTGTCATGTGTTACAGGCTGAAGGCACCTGAATAATGATGGTTGAGGGTTTTTCCTTGTGTGCTAACCTACCAAATGTTACAAAGCCATGTTTTTCTAAGGCAGTCTTGAGTTTTTTTCAGTTATTTGGTTAACTTCATGTGGTGCTTCAGGTTGGCTTTGCAGTTCTTCTCCTTAGTTATTAAGACTGTCACATTATATCATGTGGTTGAGTAAAAAGTAACTGAAAGATGGTTTCGGAAAGTAGCATCAGAGTCAACACAATGCTGCTAATCAAGTGTTGGTTCAAGGCTTTCTGTCCTGCTAGTAATAAGATGCAGTTGATATTGGATGACTATGGAGAGCGCACAATTTCTAACTTACTGCTCAGAACATAGGGCCATATTTCTTTTCTCTTTATTAAGAAATGACTTGAAAAACAGCACCTATGGGTAAAACTGTCTATTGAAAGTGTTCCCAGATTGCTATGACTTTTAAGATTTGTTGTAGCCACTAGATGAGTTATGGCTGTTTGAGTTACTTTCTTCTGTTTATGACCAGACATACAGATTTTGTTAGAAATATTAATTGAAGATACATTTGAGGTATGACTTTGTATTGTTAATGATACAAATATTCATTGTTAACTGTTTAAAATTTATTTCATGTTTTTTTTCTTTAAGCAGATGCAGCATATGAGATGTGTTGCTCCAGTGAAGACCCACTGCTAGAACATGTAGAAGGACATTCTGTGGCATGTAATGGCCATTATAAATTTACTTTCTCATCAAGAGCTTTCTTGAGTTTCAAGTTTGACCATGATGCCATAATGAAAAGTTTTGACCTCTGACAGCAAAATAAGAACAAAAATCAAACTTGCCTGTTGCATTTGAGGGGGTTTCTTATCTAGCCTTACTCTTTCTCAGGAGTTTAGTTTATTTTGTTTTGTTTTGTTTGTTTGTTTTTAAATGCAATGCAGGGACTGACTGTTGGTTTGGAAGGGTTTGTTCTCTTTGCAGTATGGGAGTGGCATAGTCAGGTGTTGCACTTTAAATGCTGTATAGCCTTTATCCACAAAAGTACCTTTCCAGTGTTCAGTTCACTTGTTCCTAGCTGTGCATTAGAGGGCATTCTTTTTTTTTTTTTTCTTTAACTTGCTGTGTGTTACGTAGACTGTCATTGACTTTTTTGAACTGTTGCTGTATACCAGCTTGCTAAAACTTTAACTGCTTGATGTAAATTATTGGACTTGTTGTTTCTGTGTAGTACATTGCAATATTACGGCAGTGGCAATGAAACTGATTCTCAGAGGACTTCTCAGTCCTAGTGATTTTGAAACCAAGTTGCACATTTCAAACCTAGCCTCAGCCTGTCATCCTTTCTCTGTTCTAGTTGCTTGCCCAAAATACCTTCCCTCCTTCACACTGATAGTTCTGTTGGCTGGCAATCAGTAGTACCTGGAGTCAGATCTACAGCATGTTGACTTCTTGTACCTACTCTGCCTCTGTCTTCAGTAAGGATACACAAACTGGGTAGAATTTAGCCATTCAGTGTTTAGCTTCAACTCTTACACACTGTTTCCAGCTGGGTAGGAAGTTGCAAGTTTTGTGTTATCCCAGTTGCAGCTGCTTTCAAAAAGAAAAGCTTAAACTTTGTCTGTGAGAGGTTACTTGTGTAGAATTTTTACTGAATGTAAATCAGCCTCTGTAGATCTTGCTGAGGAGGAAGGCAGGTGCATGGATAATAGTAATTGTGTGACACTAAATGGCTTAATCAGGCTTGCAATAACTATTCTAAAGGTGTCCAGTATTGTATTCTGTGCTGTTGTCCTCAGATCTCTTGTGTAGTGTATGCTTTGTATATATCCAGTTGTACTGGAATTGCACTTGCAGTTAGCATTTAAATGATGTAGCCTCAGTCATTTTCAGCCACAATGCTTTTGGGGTTTGAACATGTGCTTTGCAGTTGAGAGAAATGCACTGAAATAATTTGTCACAGCAGCTTGTGGTAGCAAGCATGTTGTCCCAAATTTAAAAATAGACTTTTCTCTAAAATAAAGGTGAGTAATTGGTAACTTTATAGGTTGAGCGAACTACACCCTTGTCTCATCACAGTGTATGCTCATGCACTGACTCTTTATGCAACTCATGTAATCCAAAACCAAAATCCTGGTCTTCCTTCAACCACCCTACTTCATCTACCCTACTTGATCTGTTGCCTAGTGCTTTTCCTCAGAAATAGCTTTAGAACTATCTCCTGGTTTATTTACCTGCTTGCCACCAGGTGATTTGGGACTCTAATGTTGTAAGAATCCTGGCAGTAGGAGTGTTGGACTTCTGTATCAGTCAACAGGAGAAATAGACTGCATTTTCTCCTTCTGGAGGACAGGAGTCTTGAAGGCCTTGTCTTTCAAGACCAAATTGTGAAATAGTTCCACCTAGCTTTGTCTCACTTTGTATTAAAAAAAAAAAAAAGAAAAAAAAAGTTATCCAAAGGCAGTTCAAAACAGTAAATGACAAAGAACAATAACTGAGAAGGTGGGATAATGCTGGAGGAGGTTATGTTTTTCAGCTTCAGGTGAAAACTAGTCTTTAGTTACTTCTTTAGTGCAAGTAGTTGATTTCCCAGCAAAAGTGCCTTTACTCATGGTGAGGCAGAAGTTTGTATTCATATCCTGAGGCTGCTACTGCCTGTGGAGTTAACAAGACTCTCCTAAGGCATGGTTAAATATCAGGCTGTGGAAATCTTTAATCAGTTGACTTTTCAGATAAATTAGTTGTATTTCATCTAGTGCTCTGTGAAATAAGGGGGATGTTGATGAAACAGTGAACTTGGCAGCTTCTGTCAACTGTTTGGGGAATCATGTCCCAGGCAGAGGAGGTCTTTACAGCTAAGCAGATGTGTCCTATGAATAGGAGATGCTGGCTGCCCATTATAGTCACTGGGTCATTTTTTTCTTCTTAGTTAAAGGTTGGTTCAGTGTAAAAGAAATTGGTTGCTTCATTAAGCAACCCAAAGTGGGGCTTATACATATGTCATGATTTTAGTAAATCTAGCCTTAATGTGAGTTGCAAATAAATGTGATAAATATGCAATAACTTACTTCTTTGTATAAGGGTACTGTTTCTTGTAGTAGCATTTCTTTGTTTTTCTTAGTAAGGTTTTTAAAAAAATGTAAGTGTGGTGGCATGTGGTCACCTTATGTGTTCCATCATGCCCTGCACTGTGAACATTTTTAATTGTTTACTATTATTTTACCATTCTCTTACAAGTCAGTATATTTCTAAGTTTAGAAGTACAGTTTACATTATCTTTTGTAAAACAGTGAAGAAATAACAAGGAGAATTTAGTTCTATGAGTTTTTATTTTATGGGAGCTGGACACAGAGAAACAAGTAACTGTGTGTCAGACTTAAGACCTGATGTCAAAATACTTGAAAAACAGGCATTGCTCACTTTGAGAATGCTTGACTGTAAGGGGTTATTCAGATTATGAATGGTCATTCAGTGTGCTTGAAATTAAAGAACTTGTGATGTAAACAAACATTTAACAAAAAAACTACAAATGTGTAGGTGCTGGGAATCTAGTACTAGTTTGCAGTTTCTAGTACTACATGAAATCCCTGCTTTAGTGTGAGACTTTTAACATCTTTAAGAATGCTCTAAACTTTGAACTCAGACTGAAGAGTGATCTGCCTGAATGACTTATGTTCTGTGTTGAAATGCTATTAACTCCTTGATGTACATGCATGCTTTTGAAAGTAGCTGTGTCTTACATAGTTTGAAGTCTGGAAACAGTGGTACTGGGAAGAAGAGGGGACATAGCTTGCTTTATTGCATAATCAAAATATTTTTTTAACACAATGTAAATTCTTTAGACCAGACTTGCATAAATAGTTTCTAATAAAATTTTGGGCCTAGTCACTGTTCCAGGCTACTGTGCTGTTCTCCAACCTTATTTAATTTGGTGATTTGAGAACAATACAGTGTTTTTCCTTTATCTACCTGTGGCTGTTAAAATGTTAACTGTTCCTTTTAAAAACAAGGCAGGCTTCAGGTCTGGCTATACCTAACAGACTTGCTCTCAAATTGTAATTTCAGATAAATTATTTTAATTTACTGTAGTAGAATTGTTGTTGATTTGCAGTTTATAGCAGCACTCATGTCATTCTGCTAGGAAGAGCAAGAGTCTATATTAAGAATCCAAGCTCTAATATCCTGTGGTGCAAGATGGCACTGCTGCTCTGTAAGTGACTGGCTGTCCAGTTGTTAGGTCAGTGAGCCTTTTCATCCACAGCTACCTGTTTTTTATAAATTCTGAGCAAAAGAGTTTTTTTCAGACCTAAAGTCAGGTGCCTTCATCTTTTAAATTGGGAGGTTATAGCCTAAATGGGTTAGGAAGTTCAAAATTATTGAGAACTGGTTAGAACAGCCTCTCTTGTTAATTTAAAAATTGGTTTATTTACAGAAATTGTCTTGCACTGTAAATGTTTAATCTGGTGCTTATACATAACTTCATAATTTCAGACGTTTTTGTTACTACAGTATTTCAGCTTTTGAAGCAACCAAAATTATGTAAGATATGGTAAATTTCTACAAACTAACTGAAGGTGCTTTTACAGTAAATTGGGCTTGGAAATATAACTACTCTTGCATAACAGGTTTTTGTTCTTACGCATTTATAGCAGTAGTGTAGTTCAAGAATGAAAGTAGGCTAAATGCTAGTATTTGCACTGTTCTTAATCCTGTATGTAAGCACTGATAGATGCAGTAGGATTTGTGCTGTGTATGCAATTCACTGTTTCAAGTAGGTTGTGAACTTATGATGAAGACAACAGATGTAGCAATTACATTGGCCATATTCGAGATCATAAAAGTGAAAGTATTCTGGATTAGTAGTAGTACATAAAATTAAATGATTGGGTTTTGTCTTTTCATTGAGAATGTTAGGTTAAGCTAGACGTAACTTAGTGTATAGATTCAGCTTTACAGAAACCCTTCTCTTTAAATTGTTCTCAGCTCTGGGATGCTTCTTGGAAGGAAGTAAAAGTGTCTTCAATTCCTCCTTTGATACTTGCAACAAAGAAGAAAGTTTGCTTTTAAAAAATTATCAAAATTTCACAGATTACAGAATATTTAAATTTTAATAGGTCCACTATGACATTTACTGAAAACACTGTTAAGTATTTTGTCATTGTTAAACTTTTATATTGTTGATCAGAAGAACTAGCTTCTAGTTTCCATCACAGGTTACAGTTCAGTGCCTTTAAGAAAACGATTACAGCCCATTAATCATTTTAAAACAAGGCATTTATAGCTTTTTAGGAATATACAGCTCCTGCAAGCTCAGTTCTCTACACCATGCTTCTCACTGTGAGAAAAAATAAGCAAATTTTTTAAAGCATGTCTGAGCAAAATTACTAAACTAGAGAGATGGACTATTTATATCTTACTGGTTGGGTACATATTTTTGTGATGCAGGAAAAGTATGCAAAACTGCATGATTTAGAGCTCTCAGCAGACACTTCTCAAGCCTATACTTAAAACAGGATCCTTAGGTAACTACTATGTCTGCATGGCACTGCAGTATATGGACTATATGCAGTATATGCCCTGAGGAGCAGTTTAGGTGGATTTGCAAGGCACTTTTAACATTAAAAAGCAAAACAGACCACAGAAGAAGGTGGATTCATTAATTTTGGCATAATGCTAGATTGCTGTACGTATTCCAGGACCCTGGCTGACTTGGGTATTGCTGCCCAAAGTTAACGCTTTCTGTGCAGCACTGCATGCCTCGCAGAAAATTAGGAGACAGTGTTTTATCATATGGCTCATGCATGAAGGGTTATGTCTTCCTTCCCTTTGTTCAAAGCTCAAGAACTTGATCTGTTTTCCTCACTGGTATGTAAGTGGCATATCGGTGCTAATTAAGTAGAAAGTACATACAGCTAATAGGGTTAAAACCATGTAAAGCTATAGATTTTACTCAATTTTCATTATGTTACCTTGAAGAAAGTGTGCATTAATCAACTCTTCAATTTTAGTAAATAAAATGTAACTACCTGTAACATCTGCTGTACTGATAATTGTGATTTTGTTATTCAACCAATTCAGAAACTGAAGCACCCCATTTAAGAGGCTATGACTAAATTGACGTTTTCTTCCATACTGTAATTTTTCTCTGTAAAATTAAATTACTTTATGCATAAACTTACTGAAGTACTGAAGTATGAATATAAGCATTGCTGATCAATGTGAAATGTAAAGCCCGTGCTGCTGTTACAGGTTATAACTTCACTGTAGAATGTTTAAATGTTGCCTTAAGCCAGTCAGCAGCACTGATTATATATAGTGCCAGGAGACGAAGTATTACTTTTTCAAGTCAATTGTAAAGGTGGAGGAGAGGCCCATTGAACACAATGGAGAAGAAAACAAAAAAAACCCAAACCACCCAAAAAATAAAAATCAATCTTTTAAAAAGATGTTAGATGTACTAGAAAAAGGAAGTATGTGAACTTCAATCAGTGCTTTTAAAATATTTATGAGAATGATTTTTTTTTTTTTTTTGTCCATATAACTTGTTATTAAAGGAACTGGATGTGTGGAAATGGTTTCATATGTGCCCTTCCATTTCTATATTGAAGCTGTAGAGAGTTTGTGGCAAGTACTAATGTTCTTGAGCTCAGCTAAAACCTGTAATCAGATCTCCAGTAAGTTCTTTCCAACTTTTCGTGCTTGTTACGGGAACTTTCCTGACAGTGTCATACCATCCAAGATAACTAATGTATCTTTGAGAAAGTCTCTGTGGTACCATTAAGCAGACCCATTCAACAATATGATGACATGGTCTGGTAAAGCAAACCCTGAGGCAAAGAAATAGCATTAGAAATTTATTCAGAATATAAGAACATTTGTAAAATAAGTATTATAAATGTCTCTGTATAAATAAATGCTGTTTTTACAATTCTATATCAAATAACCACAAAATAGCAATTTTACAGCAGCTAGGAAACTAAAAAGCAGCAATACATTTAAAGCTAATTCATAAGGTGAAAAGTTTCTAAAATGACAATGTATGGTACAGTATTAAAGGAGGAGAAAATCCTAATAAAACCAGTAGAACAATACTGACATTAATGCAAACTTAGTCACATGTGCTCTGCAATAGCTAGCAGTACATTCAAGCTGGTGAAGATTTATATATTTAATTAGAAAAAAGTACTTTTGAACATGTGAAATACAAAGTTTCATGTGCTCTGGTGACAGAAAATGAAAAAAAAAAAACCCTAAGATTTAACGAGTGAACAACTTAGGTTCTGTTGGCAAGAACCACCTATTTTTCTTGCTTTGCAAATGTATTATGCCTGCAACTAGTGTTAAGTGAGATAAGTTGCTGTCACTCAGGGTGATGTGCACACTCATCTACAGGCTGGTGTGCTGGTATTTCACACAGTTGCATAGTTTTTTGGCATTTATTCTCAAGGTTGGTGCCATTTTAACAGATACGCTGGAACTGCAGCTGTTAATATGAAACAGTTTTCATAATAACAGTAAACCTTTTACCACTTCCCTACTGGTCTTTTCCGGTGTGCCAACAGATGAAGCAGTAGCTGCTTGCTTAGGCAAAAGAACTGGTGGTCTGGCAAACTACAGCTACTGCTGAGGCTGTATGATACTAGTCTTGCTTTTTCATCTATAAGCCCTATGGGAAGAGTTTACTGATGATTTATAATTTATTCTAAAATGCGTTTAGAGCACAGTTAGCAGGGAAGATATGAGTAAATGTAATAAAGCAATGTTCAGTTTATGCAGAATCAGCAAATCATTAGGCTTGAAAAAGGCACAGAGAGACACTGCAGCTTTTTAATGCCTTTAAACCCAGGTGCATTTTAAGATTTCTTCACAGAACCATCTAGGTTGGAAAGGACCTTGAAGATCATCTAGTCCAACCATTAACCTAACACTGACAGTTCCCAACTACACCATATCCCTCAGCGTTATGTCGACCCGACTCTTAAACACCTCCAGGGATGGGGACTCCACCACCTCCCTGGGCAGCCCATTCCAACTCCTAACAACCGCTTCTGGAAAGAAATGCTGCCTAAAAACTTTCCTTTAAAGACAGGTTTCAATTCAAATGCTTTAAGCTTCACTGTATTACGTTTAACAGCTTCTCTAGTTACCAAGAAATATTAAAAAAATGAGCCTAAGAGGAAATCCAGTGCAGCAATGGTTTCTAGTTACCTTAAGTGAAAGTTATTTCAGATGGACAGTTTGAGATGACCTCAAATTACATGGATATTTCAGATTCAGTAAGACAAAACTGTTAACTGCGTTTTGCCACAGTACACAGTGGATGATTCTGTGTTTATTCAGAAACAAGTGTGATCAGCTACCACTGAAGCTTATTGCAAAACCCTATATTCCTGTTGGTGAGAAACCTGTTGGCCAAAAAAGGGAAACCTCATAGGCAGATACTTAGCAAAACCATAAAGACAGTAAGAAAGTGTGCTTGCTGCTCCCTCAATAGACTGGTTTGCAGAAATTTGCATTATAAATTAAGAAGTGCAATTATCTTGAGAAAGAGGACTGCTCAAAATCAATCCCAGGGCATCACTACCTGTAACTTAATTTTGAAATCAGCATTGTTTTAACTTGTTATTGCAATCAATCACATATGATGTTGGCTTTGTAGATGATGTCCCCAAGAAAAGAGGAAAACAGTGACTACAGTATTAGGAAATGTCATGAACACCAACTGCTACAGTTTCAGATGTAACCATGACTCAATGCCATATTCTGAACACAAATTCCCATAACTATTTTGGCTGCCTGGCCTAGCCCAGGAGTAGACAAAAATGGTTCAAAGTCCTCTATATTTCACTAGTACTAGAAGTTGGAGGAATAAATGAGAGATGTTACCATAATTCTAAATACGCCAATAAAACTTGAGGTGTGACTCAACATGTAAATCAAAAAGGACAAAAAACTGCTGAAATCAGGTTTACTCCAAAACAGAGCCTTAAAAATATAAAGTAGAGTGTAACACAGTAACAGGCTAATGAAACTAATGAACTCTAGTTTGTTGTGTTAAACAGGGGAAGCTCTTTTACATAGTCAAATAATTCTGAATAAAACAGTTGCTATGGCCAACTCCTGTATTTTGCTTCCTAAAGAAATCAACCTGATTGCCATGCTTTGTGTAATGTTCATTACCATAATAGGCCAACATTTTCAATTTAGTCAGTCTGATAATACAGTAACATGATGTGACAAACAAAAGAAGAGAATGTTAGCAGTAACAAAAACTAACATAAGAATCTGTATGAAGACTTCACCATTCACATTCTGTTGTGGCTGTATATCCATACACCTACACATTTACAGTTTTGTGCCTATATATTCAATATTGAATAGGTACATTCCTAATAAGTACCTTTTTTTGGCCAAAACAAATATAAAAAGACAACATTCTACTTCTTGATCACAGAAAGCTGTAATAAGCACTCTATATGTGACAAAAATGTCCCAGCTGCTTAAAGAAAAACCTTGGCTATAATGTATTAACAAGAAAAAGCAACTATTTCACAAAATAACTGCAAACACCATGCAATATAAATACCAGGAGGTCTCCTGTAATTTCTTACCCAACCTTGGCACAGGCTATCTGTCTGGCATGGTAAAACAGTCCTCTTACAAACTCTAAGAAATATACCATTATTATTGTTTTCAGAGATACAACTAAGGTTTCTTGGGTTTTTTTTTCCAAATCAACAGTTTTCCTACCTGATCTGCACTGTGAGCAAGTATGGTGCAGAAAAGCAAGCCAGCATATCATCTAATTCTGCAGCAAGTCTTGATGGTACAATACAGAGTTGTGTGGAGTGGGAGCTCAGGGATTTGGAAAACTCAAACTATCTCCAAACTGCCCAAATTAAAACCTCTTAACATCAATTATTTTGCTATGTGACACTGTCACCCATGGGACACACATAAAATGGAAAAGAAGATGTATGTATACAGATATAATGACACAGACAATGTACATAATTATAGCACAACTATTTAGGCACTGCCATTTTGTATTATGAAACAGTCCTTAAGGTTAACACTTATATTATCCCCATGGCACCTCTCTAGGATCCCAGAGAAGGTGCTTAAGTGTGTCAGTGTTGACAGAAGCTACCTAAAAGCCTCCAAAAAAAATTTGTAATGGCACTAAGCATCTTTGAAAGAGATTAATTTAAAGTGAAGTTTCATTGGTGTGTGGTCTAGAGTTCTCTTCTTCTAGTAAAGCTATTCTCTGTTTGAGCATCCTGACTTGTGTTTCATGTCTCTCCACCATGGCCATCATTTGTGATTCCAGTTTCTTCAGCTTATTTTGATGCTTCTTCTTTGCTTTTTCATATGCTGCTACCAAGTTGCTGTTAGAAATCCAAGGCAATACAAGGTCATTCAAAAAGGCTTGTTCATAGCAGGTGCTACAAAAATCCATCCCAGAACCCCACCTTCAGAGAACTCCAGTGTGGGTACTGATGACCTTCTTAAAATTTACTAGTGCTTTAAAACCCATTTGATCCAAACCCAGATTAGTGGTAATCTCTGTATATTTTTCTGGGGCAAGTACACACCTTCACAGTAAACTGGTTACTAAAAACATTTTTAAACATGGTCCAGAGAGCCAGCTAGAGGTTGCTGATGATGACCTTGCATAGCACTGTGAGTCAGGATACCACAACATTAAACATGCAATGATTTACATAAACATTTCATGGCCAGAATCTGCTTACAAAAGCCAGTCCTGATTTTGCATTTTCCTTTTAAAAAATTAACAGTTATATTCAGAGGATGGCTAATTTGTCAGCTGCTAAATATCTCCTGTGTCTTCACCCTGACTCAGCAGGAAAGCTTGAGACAGGTACTGCTCCTCACCATAAGGACTTTCAAGTATAATTTATTAATGTAATCTACATTGTGTGTGATAGGCTCCTTGCAGGAAGGGCAGTTACAGTCCACCATATTCTCAGTCCATTCAAACCTAGTGCCAGTAAAATCTACTGAGTGAGCAATTAATTTTAAGTGTGATTAATGAAGCCAGTTTATTAATAAAAAGGCTGGAGCCAAAGAAAGGGAAGCACTTTGAAACAAAATAAAATTAATAAATTTTACCAAACAGAGGTTTTTGTTTAATAATAATCCAATTGCTAGTAACTTGGTTATGATTAACCCATTTCCCCCACTCTGTTCTTAGCTATGTAGTTTTCAGTGTCCTATGTGGGATGTACAGAGCTCCCTCATCTCTAACTATAACTGAGTCAACATGTGTGAACGCAAGAATCCAGAAACTGATCATAAGGTAGGAGAGGATTACAGTGCATTATCAGAACAGGGGGGAAAAAAAAAAAAAAAAAAAAAAATCAGTGGTGCATCTGTCTGCTGGTAGATCCTTTACCTGTTTGCCCTTTTAAGGTCATTAACAAATTCTGCAGACTGCTGATGTCTAATTTCACTGCTCTTTGTGAGTCTCTCCAGGGCACTCACTAACTCTTGCACTCTAGCTTTCAGTTTCTTCTCCCTAAATCAGGAAAAAAGGAGAAAACTATTTTCAAAACAGAAGACTTCAGCTTGCAAGTGCATCAGTCATCGTCCTGTGTAGGGTGACAGGCTGAAAATACTTTCCTTACTACTACTTGGAAAATACAGAAGGTAGTTCTTACATTAAACTTTTCCACAGATTGGCTTTTATAACATTCACCATTTTAGAATATAGGATCAAAGATGCAGCAGACAAAAGAGAAAACAATTTCTCTAGTGGATCATGGTATTTTATATATTCAATCACACTAAGAAATAATCACACAGATACATAAATACAAATTTAAAAATACCCGGCACATGCCACCTACTGTGTATTGAATAAGATATACCAAAGAAAACTACCAAGGAAAAGCAAACATCATGGTAATCATATAAGAATTTTAATTTAAAATAGCATAGCAGGATTTCCATTGAAGTTCATTTACTAAATAAATTTTTTTGTACTTAGAAATGACTATAGAATCATAGCATAGTTTATATTGGAAGGGGCCTTCAAAGGTCATTAGCCCAGCCTGTCTGCCATGGGCAGGGACATCTTCAACTAGATCAGGTTGCTCAAAAGCCCCTCCAACCTGGCCCTCAATATTTCCAGGGATGGGGCAGCTACCATGTCTTTGGGCGACTTGTGCCAGTGTTTAACCACTCTCAGAGCAATTCCACTGACTTCAGTCACTTCCTCAAATTTACCAGATTAATTTATACTACAGTCTGTATTACAGTAGATCACTAGGTTTTCTTAGGAGCCAGTGGGAAACAGAAAAAGTTAAGAATGAGAGAGGGGAGTACAGACAGAAAAGGGCAAGCATGAGATACACAGAATAGAGAGCACAGGCATTTTCTTCTATGAGGTACTCTTTTCCTTTTAAATAAGCCACAGTAGTGAGGTTTAAAATGCTAATATAGTTACCAATACTTACCAATTATGAACCAAAATCTAATTACACATAGTGTGGCAAAATGGAAGTAAGGTACCATATAATAATACTTCTATGTTACAAATATCTCTATGAGGAAAAGAAAAAGTGAACAAGGCATAAGTTCTGGGGAGACTTAAGCATTACAGCTTGAGTTTAAGCTGGCTTTAAAATGCATTTCTCAGTGCAGGCAGGCATGTGGCATGAGGCAGATGCTTCTTCCCGGAGCTCCCTGCTGCAGAGCCAACAGGTGCCACAACCTGCTCCTATACAGACATGGGACTGTCCCATCTCTTGTGCACAGGTGCTGATGTGGAGACCCAGACGCCTTTCTCTGTGACCCTCCTCATAGCACAGACAGCCCATAGAGGAAGAGATCAGATTAGAAAAATTTAAAAATGGGGTGTAAGAATGATATGGAGGTGGGCTAAACTGAGACAAAGTTAAATTTGTGTTGAACCTTACACTTGGGAACTTTGCATGTATGGAAACATTTGTCTGTGCTTTGCTGTCTAGAACTGCTTTGCAGTGATTTGCCTTTCTCTCCTGCTCTTGTTGCAGTGCCGCGAGTAAATTGGGTTTAAACTCAATAACAAGCCTACCACTACCTCCCACGTAAGCCCACCAAGCCCCACCAGAATCAATAACCGAAAGTTTTTGAAAGCTTCCCCAGCTCCGCACAGATCGCACGGATGCTCCTCAAGTCCCAGGTCACCAGCCTGCAGTTCCAAGGCTCGCCTGGCAACGGCAGCATTTTATAACCAGACACATGGATAGCACGTGGTATGTTTCAGTGTGCCCCTCTTCGGCAACAGAAGGGCTTTCACAAAGTCAGCTGGGGAAATACTCCAAGTTAGCATTTTATCCCAACACACTGCAGACGCTGGTTTACTGGCCAAATTAGAAAGCACATAAGAGGGGCCTTGTTGATAAAAAATCATCAGTATTCTTTACGTGTCCTTTCGCTGAAGTAACATACTCTCATTTTCAAATTACAATCTTTTTCTGTAGCTGTTAAAAGCTCACTGCCATCTATCCTGAATATATATATATATATATATATTCAGGATAGATGGCATATATATATATATATATATGTATTTTATATCCTATCTTAGCAGTCAGAAAGACTCAGCTAGTTTACAGTCAAAATGTGCTCTTCAAAGAAGACAGGAACAAAAAACCCTCCAGTTTCTATTTGCAAACGAAGATAAATAAAGGATCAGACCAGGCCAGACCCATTACCTAACATGTGTGTGGCACTACTGATACTGATATGAGAGAACAGAGTAGGGTAAATTTGGAGCTTGTCTGTTCCAAAGGACACCTCAGCCAGAGAGAAGCTCTTGTGAAGGCTCAGTAGCACAGTGCCCAGCACTGCAACCTAGCATGAACAGCAAGTTTAATGGAATAAACATTCGCAGTATTTGAATGGGGAGAGAAAACTAAAAATCATCTGAGGCTGATTTAATATTATGTGCAAAAAAAGGTATAACTGTGACAACACTGCATGCAGTCTCATGGGAAAGAATGCTGTAGAGCCACAGTTTATTGCAGCTGAAGTCCTTAACACACACCTGCTGTAACAAAAGCTGTGTGGAAAAGAAACACAGTGGAAAGACTTAGAGGAACTTGTCATGCATGGTAAAGTTTGATCACTATGGTGACTGTTACCTGATAAAACCATTACACATCACCTTTTGTCTGTTTTTGCATTTACACCTTTCAACCAGTCAGTTCAGTCTGAACTCAGCTAAATATCAAGACATACTTCTTTGCATTTGGCCTATAACATCCTTGTCTTGCTGCTTGCCAAAGACAGAGCTGAGTGGTAAGCACCCTGGGCCTCCCCAGGCTAGTTAAACAGCTTTCAGATGCTAGATCTGAACCATCTAGCTAAAGAGGTAACAGTGGGTAATCCTTCAATCTATAAATGTCTCAAATTTACATTTATACCACTGAAACGCATGTATTCCATGAGCTAAAAAGACCCACACAGTTCTTCTGGCTCATCTTGATGTCTTGAGGTCAGCATTAGCTAGTGCCTACTGCCACTTTAATCTCAGACAAAGCAATGGGCAGTTTAATTGCATGTGTTAAATGTTCCAAAACACACAGGGATCGATTTCTATGCTTACCATTCCTCATTTAAAACATGCCTATCTAAGTATCTTTAAGAGGCATTTCATCAGACAAGTAACACCTGAGTTGACAGACACAGCAGCCACAGTAAAGGCACAGTGAATACCTTGTCTTCGTCTAGAAAATGGAGATGCAGATATACTTGATTAATGACTATTACATGAAAAAAAACATGTAAAGTTTTCCCAGAGTGCTGCACCTTTAATTTAGTAGCAGGTGAGAGACCTCAGAGCTGTACCTTACTGGCCGGCCATTTCTATCAGTAATTACCTCAGTTTGGACAGCAAGAGTTGTCATTATTTGTGTCTCTCTGAAACAGATTGCTTAGTTGCACAGTGGAGTGATAATGAATCCTGAGAAGCTATTTGTATTCCTTTAATGCATTACAAGGGTAATTGTCTTTATGGAATTTCTAGCACCACTTTGTTTTCCTGATTGCTATTATAAGTCAGCAGGATATGAAGAATCAACCACTACAGGCTTAATAAGACAGTATTTTAAAACAACAGTCATAGTCATATGCAGCATTTTTTCAAGGTTGAAAGCGTCAAAGCTGTTAACCAAGGGTGGAACTGAATTTGATGCGACAACTATATGAACATCCTCCTGATAGATCACTGTTTGGCTGCAGCATGTCCTTCTGCTGCCAGTCAGTCCCAGAGTCTGAAGAGCAAACACACACAGAAGCTTACACTGCTATCATGCCCCACAGCATGTAACACAGACCAATATTGATCTTGAGAAAGCATTTGTGTATATTTGGATGGGAAGAGGGAAGGAGAAACAAGAACTGTTAGAAGAACACAATTTTTGTGAGCTCCAAGTCACAAGTCAATTGGACCACAAAAGTCAGAAGAGCTTTTGCTCCCAAAAGTTCATCTTGCAAATGGCTACTGCTGCTGGAGCTGCAAACACAGCCATGGCACCATGCGCACAGAGGGAAAATGAGCACATATTCTCCGAAGAGGGAATAAGCTTAAGATCTGGGGGCATGGCTCACTTCCAACACAAGTGCTTTGCTGTGGGGCACTCAAGAAGTCAGCTAGGGAAATTCCTGACTGCTCCCTTTCCAAGGAAAAGTTCAAAATAAGTGTATTCAGAGGCCTACAGCCTACTCCAACATCCACTAAAAACACTATTTTCAGTTAAATGCCTAGTACGCTGGTGACAAAGCCTTTTGTTTTGTATTTTCACAATCAAAACACTCAGTGGGCAGTTGCTAAGTGGTTTTCAAGGGCTTTTTCAGACTTACAGGATGGCTTGAATAGGACCAAGCAAGTGGACAGGGTCTAACATTTTCTCTGGTTTCAAGGCTACAGTTGCAGAGAGTGGGGAACTTTGCCAGAGCCATAAAGGAAACTATATAATATCGGGCACATTTTCTGCAGTTTCTGTCAATTTGGTCTCCACACAAATGACAGCATATTTGGCCCTGAATAATGTCAGCAAGGTCTTGTGCATCTTTTATTTTTCCCTCCTGCCTGTGCTTTTCCAGACATGTTAAGGTTTCACATGCCAGAAGTCTTAGCAGGTGGATTTTCCTGTCCCTTGATCATTTCACCGAGAATTCCCCAGTGCTGCAAACAGGGAGCTGCTCTTCCCTGGCACACAGAAAGTTGATTTTTCAGCTCCTGACTTGGAGTGTACCTGGCTAACTCCCCTTCTGGTGAAAGCACAATCTATCACCCCTCTGCCCTGCGGTCAAGAGCACCCACAGGTCTTGCCAAATCTGAAGCAAAAGAGTATTGAACCCTCTCCAAATCAGGAGGTAAGGAAGTTTCCCACAGCTGGGCAGAGGAGTTGGGGGGCCTTTAGGGCCTCATTATCCTACATTTTGCTATCCCTAGGAACATCCTTTCACCCAAGAGGGAGCATTGCCTGCTACACGCAGACCTCTTCAGATTCTGGCTCTCCTGTTAGA